GGCACCAAGCCTGGCCCCCTGCAGCCTCGGAGCCCCCGCCCCCCGCAGCCACGGGAGGCAGTGCCAGCCTCTGCTGAATTTTTCACGTAGGGGGCGGGCCGGACACGCCGTTCCCATGGCACCAGGGCGCTCGGGTTACCGCGGAGGGAACCCCCGGACCCCCACGCGCTTCAGCGTCCCAGCCCACCCATTCCTGCCTCTTCCTCAGCCCTCTTGAGGCGGGGCAGCGGAAGTGACCCCTCCCCAGGGGCCCTTACCCCTCCTCCACACCCCCATCTCCCAACCGAGGGGAAGAGGCCCGGGGAAGGGGCGTCCCGGGTAATTCAGATCCTTTCAGAACCTGGGTCTCGTGTTCTGAGTGGGAGAGGCAGGCCTGTGCACACCGTGTGTGCGTGCTCGTGGGGGCATCACCTCGCTGCTGCCCCTCTGCTGCCCGTGGGGGAGGAGATCATCCTCAAGGCACAGGAAGTGGCCTCTGGGTGTGCACACATGTGCGTGCACAGCTTGCACACTCACCCTCCGAGCCTGACCCAGGCAGACCCTGGGCCTGAAGCCGGGAAGCCCCCACCCCGAGGAGGGAGGCTCTGGAGGAAGCCACCTCGGGGCCCTGCAGAAGGGGCTCAGCGCACCTGCTCACCGCCCATTCCCCTTCTCACTCACAGAAGAAGGAAGGCAGGAGCCAAGGCCCCCTCCCGAGGATGACACTAAACACGCAGCAGGAAGCAAAGACGCCCCTGCGACGGCGAGCCAGCACCCCGCTGCCCCTGTCCTCCCCGGGCCGCCAGCCTGGCCTGTGCACAGCACCTTCCACTTCCACACAACCCCGGCACCCACGCCTGGGCCAGTCGGCCTCCCTCAACCCTCCCACCCAGCAACCTTCACCTGCCCCCGACGGCTGGTCCTCTGAATCCAGCGACTCGGAGGGCTCCTGGGAGGCCCTCTACCGCGTGGTGCTGCTGGGAGACCCTGGCGTGGGGAAGACCAGCCTGGCCAGCCTCTTCGCAGGGAAGCAAGAGCGGGAGCTCCATGAACAGCTGGGAGGTAGGGACGCGGGGCTGGGCTGGAATGTGGCCAAAGGAGTGATCAAGGGCACAAGGCTGCCAATAACAGCTGTACGACTCACGCACTGCTCAGCCCATAGGGGCGTCATTCGCACAGACTATGACGTGGACATGCCCCCCTAGAGTTATGCAGGGCACAGCCTGCACAATGGCTGTGGGAGAGAGATTCCTTGAATAGTGAGAATTTTGCCAGTTTTCATGGGTGAGAGATATGGGATTGAGTCTCAAGTATAAAGAAATGGTGGACTTCCACCTCGCTTAGAAACCCCTAGCCCCGACTCTTCCCTGACTCTCGGATCACCCCAGCTCCATAGACAACCACCCATGGCCACCACGCCCTGTGGCAAAACTAATATCCTGCCCAAAATGGAGGCTCTCAGACTCCAAGTTCTGGGCCCTGGGTTCCTTTATTCCCACGAGATGCAGCGAGCAGGTGCCCTAGGATGATGGGGGGTGGGGATAGGGCAGAGGAAATGAAGATAGGTTTTCGCAGGACTGGCTGAGAGGACTAGGGTAAGTGGGATGGGGAGTTGGTTAAAAGCAGAGAGAAGGTGGGGGACACTCTAGCCAGGCCCTTTCTCCAGGCTCTGCCTCTCTGAGGGTGAGAACCCATACGAGAGGTGAGCATATGTGCACCTGTAGGTGTGACAGACAAATGGGGAGACTGAGGCCCAGAGAGGGTAACATGACCTGCCTGAAGTATACAGTCAGCCAGGGACAGGGCAGGACTGGAGAATTCCCAGCCCAACTTTAACCCCACCACCCCACACTCATTCAATCAGCAAACACAACCACCAACGCTGTCTCAGTACCTACTGTGCGCCTCATACCATGCTGGCAGCTGGGGAGACATGGGCTCCTCCTCCTGCAGTTTCTTGACCTATCAGGAGACACAGGCATCACGCGAGTGTGGTGAGCACTTCACGGAGAAGTAGAGGGGGTGCAGTGACCATAAAGAGGGGCTAGGGAGCCACACCCTCCCCAGGCCTGCCCTCCTCCTGAGATCCAGCTCTTCCCTCTGTTACAGAAGATGTGTACGAGAGGACCCTCACAGTGGATGGAGAAGACACCACACTGCTGGTCATGGACACCTGGGAGGCTGAGAAACTGGTATGGTCCAAGCAGGATTTGGGGAGATGGGTGCTGAGCCTAGAACCAGACCCCTCCAAACCCCATAGCCTTTCCAACCAAAGACAGAACCTCGTGACCTTCACCTCCTTTGCTCACTCCTCTGGTCCCCTCTCCACAGCCATCCCAGGATGTGCTTCTTCCCCTGCAAGCCTCCCCCTCATATTAGCCCCCTCATCCCACTCCACCCGCCTGCGTTGTGCAGAGGGAGGAACACTGAATTTAGCATCAAAATGTCTGAGGTTCAACCCCCTTTCTTTTTTGACCAGTTGTGTGTCTTTGTGACTTTCCCGCTCGGAGCTTCCGTTTTCTCACCTGATAAATGGGTCGATCATTCCTGCCTTCTTTACCAACTGTTTGTTTTCTTTAAGTTCTTATGCAACTTCAGAGAGTTGAGCAGTTTTGAGCATGAAAAAAAAAATGCTAAACGTGGGCGAAGAATCATAAATAATGACAACTCTTATTAATTATAATTTAGTAGCTAGGGGAAAAGGAAACCAAAGGGTGTCCTTCCCGGGCCCCTTCTCGAGCGGGAAGAGAGCAGCAGGCAGGGGCATGTCCCTGTTGTGTTTTTCTTATCTTGTTTGAGTTTTCCGTTTTTCTTGCTGTGCAAGTAGTACATGCTCACTATAGAACTTTGAAGAATACAACCAAGCAAAGAGAAGGATCTAAAAATCACCTGAGATTCCATCTCTCTAAGGAGTAGGTTCCTCCCCTAAAACTCAGGGAGGGCCTGGCCACAGAGGGTTTAGGAGGGCAGTGTTGGGTGATTGACAAAAATGGCGACAGCTCTAGTGATGGGCCCAAAGGCTGGGGATGAAGGAGCTGTGCAGCCAGTTCTTTTTAACAAGCATAGAAGGAAACCCAGGTCCAAATGAACATAATAAAGATGATGATTCTCTCTTTTTTTAAAAAAATATATTTTATTGATATTTTACAGAGAGGAAGGGAGAGGGATAGAGAGTTAGAAACATCGATTAGAGAAAAACATCGATCAACTGCCTCCTGCACAACCCCTACTGGGGATGTGCCCGAAAACAAGGTACATGCCCTTGACCGGAATCAAACCTAGGACCCTTCAGTCCCCAGGCCGACGCTCTATCCACTGAGCCGAACTGGTCAGGGCATGATGATGATTCTCTTAACAGCAGCTGACATTTATGTAGCATCCTCTTCCTAAGTGTTAGCCCCTGTGCTAAACACTGGACATATATTATGACATTCAGTTAAGACAAAAATTATACAGCGAGTGTTCTTCTGATCCCTATTCTATGATGAGGAAATGGAAGCTCAGAGAGGTTAAGTAATGTGTCCAAAGTTCTCAGCAAGTGAGATCCAAACCCAGACCTGGAAGAACCCACAGTCTGCACGTTTATGCACTAGGATAGCCCCTTCATCTCCCCTGGGAGCATCACCTTCTGAACCTCCAGCTGAGGTTCCACTCCTTCACCCATTTGGTCATTAAGAAACACTTGCTGCCCTAGCCGGTTTGGTTCCATGGATAGAGCATTGGCTTGTGGACCAAAGGGTCCCCTGGTTCAATTCTGGTCAAGGGCACATGCAGGAGGCAACCAATCTATGTGTATCTCTCACATCAGTATTTCTCGGTCTTTCCCTCGATCTTCCACTCTCTCTAAAAATCAATGGAAAAATATCCTTGGGTGATGATAAAAAAGAGAAAAAAAAAACACACTTGCTGGGTATAAATCATTGGCCAGACCCAGCAGTGAATAAGGCAGACATGTTTTCTGGCCCCATGGAGCTCACAGGCTGCTAAGGGAGGGGCTATTTTTTTTGGATGCTGGGAAGGGAGGGGCTACTTTGAGGGTCCTATGGGGCAGAGTCCAGTAGATTAAGAAGAGTGTTCAGCGCGAGGGTTCCATTTGGGAGACGGAGGAAGAAGAGTGCTGGACTAGAAGCAGGGACTGGAATTCTGTGCCCAGCTCTCTGTGTGGCCATGAGGAAGTTTTCTCTTCTCTGGCCCTTGGTTTTCCTACAAGTAAAATAAGAAAACTGGACCAGTTTCCCTGGTCAGTGACTGTGAAGGTAGCTCCCAAACAGGGCCCATACAGTAGCAGCCTTGTTGGAATAAGCTTCCATTCCTTCCATCGTTAGGCTAGTCAGAGAGGCAGAATCTGAAAGAACTGGGTGGACCTTTGGCTCATCCAGTAGTGCACTCACTTACTAGTATCTAACCATCAGGGAGAGAGAATTAAAAATCAAATTCTCAGGCCTCACCCCAGACCTCATGAATAAGAACCTGTATAAGTAGAATCCTGGCATCTATATTTTAAAATCACATCCCAAGAGATTCTTACCCACCAGTCCATGCAGCAACTGGCTTTTGTGATCCTGACCAGAGAGCAAATTCTTCATAAATATTTGTGCAATGAATGAATGAATGGTCAAGACTCACCATCTCATTCAACAGATGAGAAAACTGAGACCCAGAGGGAGGAAGGGACCTGTCCATAGTCAAGGTTGAAAACCCAGAATGAGCAGCCACAGCCATCTGACTCGGCCCACAGTTATTTGACCCGAGGAAGGATCGATGTGGCTCTTGAAAACTCACCCCCTTTGACAATGATGTTGACGATGGATCTGATGCTTTTCTATTCATCTATCTTATTTGGTTATCAGATAACTTTTCTGGCTTCTTTCCCCCTCACAAACAATTCCTCCATCACACTCAATATTTCCCACGCCTGGCCCACTCTCTTCTCTCCTGCTCCACCTGCTCATCCTTTCAAATCCCACTCACAGGTCCACTGTGAACCCTCCCACACTCCACCAGGTTGAGTTCTTTTGGCCTCCCTCACCCACCCCCATGGCTTCTCCAGCTACTTTCATCTGGGTACTTATCACAGTGCATTATAACTCTCCATTTCCATAGCCTCCCTTCTAGAATCTAGACCATGAGCTTTTGGAGGGCAAGAACTGTGTCTTATAAAGTTGTTACCGAGGTGGTCCAGTCTGAGTGCTGTCCCTGACAACAGAGCACCATCCAAAATGGAGTATCAAAATCATTCCAGTTCTTTCCTTTCCTTGGTCAAAAAACTTGGCAAGTACTCCACTTGCCTCTCCCACCCCCTATCCTTCCACCCCACAGTTGCTCCTTCATCTCTTTAGAACCGTCCTGAGAATGCCTTCCCTTGAAATCAGCCTCTATCCTCACTTCTCCCCCTTCCTTTTTTCTCTTTTGAGGAGACTGCAGAAGACCAAAAGAACTGTCTAATATGACCGATCCCATTAAACAGGCAAAGCCAGAACAGCTAAACAGCAAACTCTCCTTAGCGGGAAGAGGAACCAACTTTTTTTTTTTTTTTTTGTCTCTAGTGCCCAGCCTATAGAAGGAACCAATGAATGAGAGAATGTAGTGAGGTAGTGTCATTAGCCCAATTTTTCAAGCAGAGAAACAGGCTCACAGAGGATCAGCATATCACTACTTTGAGAGGAGAACAGGGAATTATGGCAGAATTTGTCCCTCAAACCTGCCCAAAGTATAAACCTTAGCTCCATCCCACCCATTAAACCATCCCAGCCCCTTTCTCAGCCAAGGCCTCGGTAACCTCTGAGGATGGGCCTGGGGTCCCTCCCCTACAGGATGAAAGCTGGAGCCAGGAGTCCTGCCTGCAGGTGGGCAGTGCCTACGTCATCGTGTACTCCATCGCAGACAGAGGCAGCTTCGAGAGCGCCTCTGAGCTCCGCATTCAGCTAAGGCGCACACATCAGGCAGACCATGTGCCCATCATCCTGGTGGGCAACAAGGCGGACCTGGCACGCTGCCGGGAAGTCTCCGTGGAAGGTGAGCCCTCTGGTCCACCCTCCTTCTCCGTATTCCTCTCAGCCCCACTGTCACTGTTCCTGCTCTAGTGTGTCTTCATCTCAGAGACTGCCTGCCACCTACCACCCCCATTCTGCATCTCCTTGCCTCTGCCTGAAAGCCATTCCTGTCTCCTCTCACACTCCCCCAAACCAGTCCCCAAATCCTCCCTTAACCCCACATTCCCTTCACCCCATTCCCATAGCCTCTGACCCATTCCGTTATTTCCACTTTAGCCTGGGCCAGCCCCCACCCTAATTCTGTATCCCCACTTAATCAGTTCTCAACAGCTGCCACAGTTTCCCAGAACCAGATCTGACCTTGTCACTTCTTTGCTTAAAAATTCCCATTTGGCTCTCTCATGCCCTTAGTCAGCGACACTTTATCCACCAGGCCTGATAGGCCTAGTCCTACAGGATTTTCAACTACTGAGACCTAAAAATTCCATTTATTGGCTGCAAAATAGAGCGAGAATTTATAAATTCCAAATTCAGAAAGCTTTAATTGTCTATAAAACATGCTATTGTGCCATCCAGCAACTGCAAACCAAAACGTTTAAGTTACTAGTATATATAAATAGCACTTAAAGTGAGGTGGGGATATTTTAATGGTTGACATATCAGATGGGACTCATAAAGATCTAAAAATGGCCCTACTTTCGGGGACCAATCTAAAAATTATGGAATCTGAGACCCAGAGAGAGAGGAAGCCAGTTCCACTGGGTCACCAGCCACTGCGGACTGGAACTCAGGTCCCGGCCTCCCGGCCCAGTGGCATCCTGGAGATGGAAGACCATATGCTTTGTGAGCAGACCCCCAAAACTCCGCAGCACAATCCCAGGAGATTCCGTTAAAATGCAGGTTCCCAGCGCACACCCCAAACCCACTGAATCAGAATCTCTCCCCGGATGATTCTGATGCACAAATTAGACTCCTTCGCTGCATTCAAGA